ACCATCATTGGAGCTACAATTATCCACAGTGATAGTAAAAAGTTTGCTTTCCGTATACCATTCAGTTAAAGCATTCATCATTTCTTAAGCAAGAACATCCATTGTGTGAGGTGTTGGGACATATACAAATCTATATGTTTACAAAATAATACTAATGAATTTGCTCAAATTTTTTTCATAAAACCATTAATGTATAACATAACACAATTTAAAGAGTTAGAATAAAATTGCTTACCTCAAGATACACTTTGCAACTCCCAAGATTCATCAATATAATGAGCAATGACGAACATGTAACCCTTCTTTTGATTTGAAGTCCATATATCCATCGTGATTGCTATTCGACTTTTTAACTTGTCAAACCCTTATTGTAGCTTGGATTTCTTTGAGCAATAAATCTTGTGAATGTCCTCTTTAATTTAATTGCGAGAAACCATCTTAAACATGAGTTGAAGACTAACAACAAATTTCTTAAAACCAACATGAGAAATAATAGAAAGCGAAAACTTATATAAGATTATAGCACAAGCCAACTCATGCCTTGAAATGTCTTGATCAAATGTGTAATTTCTAATATGAACCTTCCCATCAACTTGTGTATCTATGCCAAATTGATTTTGCTTTTCAAAGCATTGTTCAATGCTTGAATATTTCCTCCTTACACAAGTACCCATGTGATTTTTTAAAGCTTTTGTTCCATTCTTGCTATTGGCCTTAAGAATAGCTTTACAATAATTACAAATTGCCACATCTTCCCCATCAATATTTCTCTTTCAAAACGATTCCAAACCTCCGAAGTTAATTTGTGAGGACATTTGGTACTTGAATTACACAATGAAGGTTTACTTGCAGTAAGCGAGATCAAAGGTTGACTACTACTAGTAGGAGTTTTAGAAGGCTCAACTAAAGTTACTTGTTGTGAACTTGACCCTACATTTGATGACGATTAACAGAGTGTTTTCTTGCAATTATAATTAATACTATCATCACATTTTTCTATTGTGTCCATTTTTCAAAAGACTTAGAAACATAAAAATAGTAGAATCAATGTCTAAATCAATTTTGAAAAAATAAGTATAACACAATAACACACGAACAAAATTGGTTTCTATTGCACATGAACAGAATTGTTTATCCCATGAACATAGAGCAGCTCGTTAGTATTGATATTGAGCCAAATTAGCAAGCAAAAGTCAGTAGAATGCACGGTCATTTCTCTATATGCAATTGAGTTTCTAATTAATTGGAAGTTGGAACTTTTATGATAAAAAAATAAAAAGAATAGTTTTGCCTATTGTTGTTTTGATACTACATTCATCTTAGTCTAAAGCTGCCACATTATTCTTCAAAATTTTTCATAGAAATAAAAACAATAAATAGAAAATTGATTTTAATGGAAAGATCGAGCTTGTGGAAACAATTGTTAGGCAAGAAATTCTATCAAAAATGGTTCAGACAGATGAATCTCCCCTACCTTTAACACTTACCTTTTGTCAAAAACTTTTAATTGACCAAAAAAAAATGGTGCAACTCAAGTTTGGAATGCCTAAACAGATTCTATTTGAACTTAGTCACTTAGATTATATTTCATTATAAAATAAATTCTAGCTAAAAAAAATGAGATGAGACTTAGTGATTTACCTAAATGAAGGACCAAGAATGGAAGATCGGAGTAGAAATAAGGAGCGGCTACCAGTGGCTAGGGAAGAAAAAAAAGAAGAAAGAGTGGCTAGCAATGGTTGGGGAAAAAAAGAAAGAAGAAGGAGTGGCTGGTAGTGGCTGAGGAAGAAAAAAAAAGAAGAATGAGCTACTAGCAGTCGTTGGGGAAGAAAAGAAAGAAGAAGGAGAGGGTGAAAACAGAATGGTTGGCAGTGGCTAAGGAAGAAACAAAAGAAAAAGAAGTAGCTAGAAAAGAAAAGAATGGCTAGGGTTTTTAGTCTTAATATATTATTATTATTATTATTATCATTATTATTAAATTATAAAAATCAATAATATTAATTTTTGAGAATAAAAATTAATATTATTTTATTTTTTAATAATTGTTAATTTATATAATAGTAATTATATTTTTTATAAATGAACATAATATATAATATAAAGTATATGTGTTAAAAGACATTACAAGTTATATACTATAAAGTGTGTGTATATATATATTATAATTAATAATTTTATAGGTTATAATTTTTATAATGTTAACACAAAATAAAAAGTAAAAATATTTATATTTAAAGTATATATATTAAAAGTATTTGATGTTCGCTCCATTAGTTTTTGATGATAATAAAACATTCCCATTTATTTATGTCTAACCTTTCTACTTGAGTGTGCAGGACAAATATATATTAAATAATTAGTTAATCATTCAAAAGACAATATCAAAACTCATAAAAATAAGGAGCTATAAGTAAGCAATAAAACGAGAAGCCTCTAAGTTGAATAATCAAGGGAGTTGGATGGACA